ACATATAAAATAATAGTCTCGCTATTGTTTTTTAAATCTAGTTTATTGTCAGATATATCATCATTTTATATTATTATATTATTGATAAACAATTTTTATTAATTTTTTATACTATCTTGATGCATATATAAAATAAATACAGTCGACCCCCACTATAACGCGGTAGATACGTTCCACGTTTACGAATTTCACGTTGTAGGAATGCTTAAATACATGAGCCAATTACAGCCCGGCACGTGTGCAGTTTACTGACTACGGCTGTTTGAAAGATTTTCTTTCATAAAATTAATCGATTCTAGACTGATTTCACCCAACATTTCCAAAGCATGAATAATATTTTGGGAATAATCCGTATAAACTATGCTATAAACAAAAATTGTAGGATTACTTATCTAGTGTGCACTGTTCGACGACGCCATTGCTGAAGCTTGTTTTTGTCGCGGAGCAGCGCACCAAATGAAGGGCGCGTTTTCTGATAAGTTATTTTTCTGAGAAAAATACGTTGAACTTTGGAGACATCATTAATAAAAATAACTTTTATGGCCATTAAATAAGAAATGTTTTTTTTTCACAAAAATTGTTTAAATTACAGTACTGTATTAGACTTACAGTACCTAATTTATATACTGTGCAAACAATAGTAAACTGAACTTACCCGCCTAAACTCTTCGTATCGTGTAAGTAGTTCGGCTGCTCGTCCACTATTGGTCCAGATTCGACCAATACTGTCGCGACACGAGTCGGCGATGACGTTTTACCGCATTTTAAGAGTCTCTTTTAGCCTCTTTATACGAATATGATCACATTTTTTTGCCGCGATATACGAATCCGCATTATATGAACCCGCATTATAGGGAGCATCGACTGTATTTCATTAGTTTTTTTCTTATCTTTTTCATATCAATTAAAAACATTTAAATTAAAAAAAGTGATTAAAAAATTCTTTATTTTTCATCATTGCTTTTGAATACTATAAAAATACTCTAATATGCACCTACTTTGTGATTGAAACCACACGCTTTTCAAAGTACAATGCAACGGTTTTTAAAGTATATACAAGACAGAAGTGTCCACGTTGTTCTTCTCTGTTGGTTAGCCTGGAACTGGGACTGGGAATGTCAATGCCTAGTAATGTGCTTTGGGCAAACTCGTGACATATCGTGCGTACACATAACGTAGAACATTACATTAACATGCGATTAGTCATCGTTTCTTTTGCTTACTAGATATCTCTTAGCAAAATAGAACTGATAATGAGTTATCTTAAACTATACTTAAGTAAATTTCCAAGAAATTGTTTAAAGGCCCTAAACTTTGCAACACCCCAATCGTGGCGCCATGACACCCTAAGGTGTTGCGGCACCCTGGTTAAAAAAACACTGCCCTAGACGTTTAAGCATCAAAATTTAACACGTTCGATCCCCTTAGTGACAAACCACCCTGCAAAATTTCAGAAATTACATCAAAAGACCCAGAAGATAATAAGCTCCAAACAAGATAAACAAAATCTTGCCCCTCAAACAGAGTAACATTCATCCATACAGAAAAAAATCCCTGAAATTTTTGAATTTCTGGCGTTTTAAGGCTTACTATGTCAAACATGTAATAATCTTGAGGGCTACTTTTTTGTCTGATCGCCAGACTTTCCTTTTGTTAAGTATAACCGTTGAAATAGATAAATAAAAGCAGTTTCTTAGGTAAGTTGTTCATAAGGAGCGTTGACACTACTAAATTTTGAAGGTCAAAGTTGAAGAACATAAGAAGTAGTGAGAAGGTCTTGTCTTATATCTCGAGTAGAGTGAAACTTAATAAAAATTTTAATAGTAATTCGCACTTACATCATGGTTTAAATTTTGTCTCTACTGTAAAAATACTCCTGATAGCAATTTTATTATAATCAATAATAAAAAAGTTATTTTAAATGTAAAATCTTTAACAGCCAGGAAAGCTTCGTAACTTTTTGCGTAGACATTTTGTACAACCATTGCCATCAAAATTAGCACACAAGCTAGGAGTTATCAGAATAGAACGATATTATACACGTCTGAGTGTAACAGTATATAAGTGAGTAATTACAAAATGATAGCAAAAGAATCATTTATTGCAGGGAAAAGTATAAACGAAAGAAAGCTCCAATACCTTGTTGGGCAACCTCTAACGTGAATACACCATGAATACACGAAGGCATACAGGTGCCGTATGACTACATGCAGCATCTGAGTCTACAGTTGTTGCAAGTGGTCCTCTGCTTCAGTAAACAGTCACGAATATTATAAAAAATATTTACTCGTTAACTAATTTAACACAGATTAAAACGTAAGGCCACATTAATAAAAAACAAATAAAACAAAGTTAATAAAGGAAAAATGAAACCACTATATTTAAAACTTTCTTGATTCTAAAAATAGAGAATATAAATGAAATGTTTTCATTCTTAATCAATATTTATTTATCTAACAGGTTAAAACGAAAAGTTTTTTAAGACTAAAACTGCTTTTTTGTTTTTTTTCGAACTTTGTCCTTGTAGATAATACAAAATCGGCTGGCACATTACACATTGTCACTTGTCCAAATACAGGGAGTTGACCACACGCACCTCATACAAGAGTAAATGTTATATTAATACAGTGTTAAACTTTACATTGTTTCGAATTAAATAACATGAACTTAAAGTGCCATTCTCGGTTATCTAAAGGACAAATTTGTTTTCTCTTTCGCCTACACAAAATGCAATGGGAATGGAATTCGTGCTAGACATACACAACAAAAACAACGATTTAAAAAAGTGTAATTATGTAGATAAGAAAACAAAAATAGGAAGTAAACGATTATTTACGAGCAACTTTGTATACTGCAACTTTTCCAAGTTACAGCACATTCTCCATCCTCCTGAATTGCTAGGCTAAGTATTCGATGAATAAATAATATTCTTTGCAGCAAATTATCTATTTAATGTCAATTATAGGATACTTCAAATAAACGTCGTCTTTACCTGCATAAATCCGAGATTTTACTTCGACAAATGGCACAAATTTTTATTTCTATGACTGAAGTTACAAATAAAGGTACGTTAAATAAAGTAGAACAACTGATACTACGAAAATAGCATTAGTAACGTGTCAAAATAGAATATATTGTCATAATAAAATTTTACCTCAATTCCTTGCAGCTACGCTATTTCACTGAAAAATTTGATGTTGTATCAATTGGTACGAGTATCAATAAAATATATTGAAAAAGTTCATTTTTATAACTACTTAAATTTTAATTAGAGTATCGTCATTATTTTTCGTGACCGGGATTTCCTTTGAATTAATGAATCGATAGTATATTGAAATTACAATAAAATTTCGTATTCCAGTCACACGAGTCCTCACTAAAATGTATTATGTTTTGAATATATTATATCAGGAATATATTAGCACGTAGCTTTATAAACTTTTGACATGTATTTTACAGCAAATGATATTTGTTATAAAAAAAGCTGCAGAGAACAATTATCAGTTACAGTATATTATGTACTAAAACAGCTGTATGTAATAAATACAATATGTATGTTTATTAGGGGTAGAAGATTGGAAATAGTGGAAATTGAAAACTAGAATTGAAAAATGTAAGAAGATAAAATGAACGGAAAAAAATTCATGTATGTAATGCAAATATAAAGAGATTTAGTAGAACAAGATACGGACTAAAAAGAGTAGATAGATTGTCAAAGTGAATAAACCGACCAGTGCATTGGAAGGATTATTTACTTTGCCAATTTCATATTAAATTCTGCTCCAGGATGATATTCTGTAACTATTCTTCATGCGTGTAAAACGTATATAGGGTCTAGTTTAGTACAAAACACCCTCCAAGAGCGCGTTCCTTGAAAGCCAATCCCAATATACACAGCCGTTTTCATCAATCTATTTTCATCATTTTTGCGTTTGTTAGTCAGGATTACGATCTACCGACTTGCCTTACTCAATGATATTCGTGTGGAAACTAGCAAATGTGCATTAAAAATTTTAACAACTTTTACTATAAATAATAACTTTGCAAATGTTCAAACATACCAATATGAATTTCAAATACTTAAACAAATTATATCAATATTGCAACATTAAGGTTTTCGTCTTTCAACATTCATAAATGTTATGAAACGATTAATCGATTGAAAGAGAAACCGATTCCGTGTTTATTTTTCTTGTCGGAAGAAAACTTGACGATGTATGATCACGTCACTGGAAATGGCTTCACCCCTCATTAAAAAGAACCCAGAAAAAGTTCGTTGTATCGCTATCTGGGTCTACAATTAAACGTTTTAGATTCGCCAATTTTGTTTTTTATATTAATAATAATTTTATTATAATACATTATTTATATTTGTTACATACAATAAATAATAAATATTTATTGAATTCGTTTTGTGTGAAAAGAAACGAGCCATACAAACTCACTGTGTAATTGCGGTTGCCTGGGTTTAAGGTGATTAGAAGAATAATATATTTCTATTATTATTATTTCTATTTCAAATATTTTCTATTTCTAAAGACAAAGAAACAAACAACTGGATGTTGTCATCCAATGCTGTTTGCGTGCAGTTTTTTCTAAATTGTTTTAAATTTCCCGTTTAAATTCGGACTCGATAAAACTACGAATCTCACTGCTTTGCACTTTATATTAGTTCGATTAATGTTATCGACATAATTGAGTAATGAAATCAGAATAATAAGCGGATTATAATTCGTATTTTAGAATTTCAAACACCTGTACGGAATCTTTCGTGTTTTGAGCATTTTTGCTCATGTTTTTATCATTTGCATATTTATGTATTTATTTTTATACCGTTCTTGATGGCGTATAAGACATCCTATTATCAGGCCAGGAAAAAAGTTGATAAACACCAATTAAAATGTAGGAAAATACAGTAAATTACTAAACTGTATTATCCACTTCAGTCTATTATACAAAATCTTTCGCAGTTTCATTAGTTTTATTTACCGCCATCGGACATGGAAAATCCCATTTAGTAATTAGTCAATTGTTTTCGTATTATACTGTTTGGTGACAAAATTAGTTTCTTGTTCTCAGATAATATTTAATATTGCAATTTTATTTGCTCGTTTTATTTCATTTATAATACTGCAATAAATGATACGTATAATTCGGATATTTTTGTAAATTTATCCGACTTAATTTAAAATGAGCAAGTAATACATCAATTTTTGCAAGTGAGTTGAAGTATTTTAGAGATACAGAAAGAAATCCCGACTGCTTTCTCTTTCTCCGGCTCTGGCAGCCGATATTCAAAATTTTGAATATATAGAGGGCACAGTAGGAGCATATCACGTAGAGCCCTATATTAGCAGAATATGGTTACTCTAACGCGTTGATGCCATCTTGAGACCAACAGTGACACAGTACTGTTTAGCATTTAAATGAACCAAGTTAGTTAAAAACAAATTAAATTCAGAAATAAGTAATATTAAGTTAAACATTTTGAAAAATAATGAAATATTACAAAAAATTATATTTAGTGGTTCACATTTATTCACAGCACTAATGCATTTGCTTGAGTAACAAAAAGTTAGAGAATCACAAAATATTTTTAGACAATAAACACTCTATTAATTTAATTAATTTTTTAGACGTTTGTTAAATATTTTGGACATCACTTGAAAAACTAGATTACCTCACTCATTAACTCACAAATGTTCAGACATTACCGATTTTATGTTTTACTTGATGTGCGGAAATACTACTTGACACAATGTCTCTAAAAACAATATATTTAAAAAACACATAATAACAGACCTGAAAAAATGGATGTATATTAAAAACAATCGACTGTTTTATAGTTTTGTTTGTTCGACACTTTCTTTAGCGTAATATTTATCTTTGGCAATTTTCAATAACTCATTCATTGAAGTTACTCCCGTCTTCTTTGCCAAATTATAAAATATACCATTTACGTTCTTCAGTAAGGCATACGGCGAGTCAAATTCTTGTAATTTTCCTACATCTAGTACCTAAAAATTTAAAATGCCTAATTAAGAAAACATTTATTTTCATATTAATAAAAAAAATAATCTTACCAGAACTCTATCGGAATCGATAATTGTGTGTAATCTGTGGGCTATTGTCAACACTGTACAAGACTCGAATCTCTCTCGAATTATTTTCTGTAGACAGCAATCGGTCCTTGATATAAAATAAAGAAAATATACATCGTGTTCGAAAATATTAATCCATATATATAAAATTGCTTGTCCTGACTGACTCACTCACTGATTCATCATCGCCCAGAGCAAACCGCTAAATCTAGAAGTAAAATTTTTTACACAGTTAGGGTACGTCATGAAAACGCACACTAAGAGGGGATTTTTCGAAATTTCCTCGCGGGGGATGGAGAGGGAGAGGATTAAGTCTTAATCGGAAAAACGGCTTCTACTCTACTATTTTAGATGCGATTTTTTGTTTTTAACTGCGTTTTAGTAGGGTATGCCATGAGAATGGACACTAAGAAGGAATTTTTCTAAATTCCCCAGCGGGGTGGTAGAGAAAGATTATTAAGGTTTAGCCGGAAGAATGGCTTCATCTGTACTATTTTAGATGTGATTTTTTGCTTCTGGTGATAATAACTTAATTTCCAAATGTAAAATATTTACGTATTACGATTTTTTAACCGAATGTTCGAACCGTTTTAAATTCAAATTTGTTACTACATATTTGTTCGATCATTGAACAATTGCAAACGCTTTATAAACTTGCTCAGATTGAAAACGTTCGATTGAATTAGAAGATTCTCACTGATAAGGGGTATGTTTAACGCAATAATTTTATACATTTAGATTGTTATAAATTACATAATAACTGGTTGTTGAAATAACAAATATAAATGATGTTATGATGCCCCACACCATCGTTCCAATTATAAGCGATGGAGCTTGCGTCTTTAGAGCAATATCCCTTGTTTTGTATGACATACTGAAGTGATGGTTAGAGAAGTACTGTACATGTTATAATAAATTATTGTTCGCATATTTGTTCTCATATAAAAAGTATATTGACAGCCAAAACTCTCTCTTAAGCATGCGGCGCATGCTAAGCAAGCCCAGAGAATTTGCCCATGCTATGAACAAGTACACAACACCGATATGCTAATTGGTCACTGTTTGTAAAAAAACCTTTCTAAATATTGGCATTTTTAAGTAAATTTTACCATTTTCATGTGTTTTGTGTTTTATACTGGTACTAGCTGTTACCCGAGGCTTTGCCCGCGAGGATTTTGCAATTTGATATAACTAGCCCTCTCTCGGTACTTCACTACCGTGAAGTACCGAGTGTTTCCCCCGAAAATAAGACATCCTCTGAAAATAAGGCCTAGCAGAGGTTTTGCTGAACTGAAAGTACGTGAAAGCACTATAAGTCTGATTTTTTTTACTCCCGGCCAGCCATCGACGTCATTACCACGTTTTCTTCTTTCAATTCTGTTATCTTTCCATACATAGAAAGAAGGAACTTCAACATAATGAAGTGTTTCTGCAAATTATTGGTTTTGCATGAGTCAAAAAATGCTGTAAGTAGTTTTTACTGGATTGTTAACAATATTTGTTAAGTGATTGGCGTCATTTGGGTTAAAATAGACTCGCTGGCCATTTTCCAAATGCACAGTGAGATGAAAAACTGGAGGGAACCTCTCATGGATAGGTAAAGCCAGAATTCTCCATACAGCCTCGAAGCTGCTGATGTATCGCCCACTTTCATAGAATTCGACTTCATCCTTTTCATTTTTAAGACCAAATGTTGCTTGATCACTCCCTTTATTGACATATTTACATATGTATTTTATAGATTTTACAGAGTTACAGTAGTCCACGTTAATATGAGCACCGAAAGTACGTGAAAACACGGGATTATATGGCACTACCCAACTGTTATCAAGGGTCATACCATTGATTTCAACGGTGAAACCACCGTCTCCTGGGGCACTTCGTCGATACTTTGGGTATCCGTCTTCTCCTGTTTGAGTTTTTTGAAGGAGAGGTCGAGGAAACTTCTTAGTGCAGCTACTTTTTATCATACAGGGTGATCTGTTATTTAAATTACCGCAAGGCCCGTGTAGTATATTGCCTTTTATAATTTTATGAAGGAGATGATCTTTCGCAGGGTCTGGTATCTCTGCACAAATAACACTATCTAATTTATCTGGAGAAATACGTTGCTGTAGCCACAACAAAATGTGTATATGAGGCAAACCACGCTTTTGCCATTTGACAGAATATATAAAACAAATCACGTCTCCAAACAAATTCTCCTTTGTTAGCAATGTCATTAATGCCTTAACTTTTAAGTGAAATGCCCTAGCAATGATATCATGACGATCATGAGGCTTTTGTACAGATAGTAATGCATTTTTAATATCATTCCATCGAGAATTACATGTAAATGTAATGAATAAATCAGGACGACCGTAATAGCTGACGTATGTCATGGCGTCTTGAGTCTTTTCATGCATATATCGTGGTGACCCAGTGAAAGATGACGGAAGCACGATCATCTGACCAAGCGGAGCGACATCAGTATCTTGTATTCCTATAGCATCTCTGAGATGTATGTAACTATCGACTCAGAGTTGCGCCTAGTTGTTTCTGATAAAATTTAATCGCTCTGTCTCAATTTTTGCGTACATATTAACTAAGTATTGACTGAAGAGAGATCGACAATATAATAAATGGTTGATTTCCGTTTGTCTGATCATGATGCGGTAAGAATAAAAGTTCATTGCAGAAACGGTTTTTGAAGAGGTAACTTTGTTTTCGGGTCAATGTGGGAGATGTGAATGGAGTAATCATCCTCACCACGACAGGAAAGTATCGGGTAATGCAATGCATCGTACGAACGGTGAACTTCACTAATACGTTGTAACTTGTTGTCATGACTTTGTAATACAATATCTCGTTTTTCAAACTGCTGTCTAACTATGACCAGAGCTACTTAGCTTGCCGTTGGTGCATTAAAACGACCTCTATCAGCATTGGCTGGTTTCCTATCAGCGAGAATTACAACTTCTAAGTTTTTACAATTGTGAGGTACTTTTTAAAGAGTAGTTTTTAAATCTTTTAAGTATGGGTTATAGTAGTGCAACATCTCATGTAATTGTTTTATCAGACTCTTTTTCACATCAGGGAAGATGCTGCATCTTAAACTTGCCTCTCTCTCATCGTCTCCAACAAAATATATTTGTAAGAGTCGAGGGGTTTTTTGAGGTAAAGGTTGTAGACTACCAGCTAAGTGATACATCTGTCCCTGTACATTGAAAGTAGGCATGAACCCATCTTCTATAACTTGTTTCGCTCCAAATGACGTCATTTGGAAGCAAGCATTATATTTCCTAATATGGTGCATAAAATGAATGTGCTCAGGATGCATGCCCATGAGTAAACTATTAAGCGGCTTAGGTAGAGGAAAAAAAGCTGGAAGCTGCACTTTACCGGCGCTACAGCACATACCAGGTGCTTCTTCCTTAAACTTGAGGGCGTTACAGTGTACGCATTTATAACTCATAGTGCCCAGGAATACTAATTTATCGGTTTCATAAGCTATCTTTGGGTCATATTTCATCCCGGAAAAAGTTTTAACCTTCCATGGAAGCAATCGCCTTTCCGTTCGTTTTCCTCGATTTTTATGCTCATATCTACGAACGACTGCTCTGTGAACCTCTGGATGATTTTGTTTGTATTTAGCTGCTGCTGCTCTGTGAACATCTGGATTCTTTTGTTGGTATTTAGTAGCAGCTTGTAAGAGCTTTTTTCTAATTGTGTTCGTAAATCTAGCACGACGTTTTTTAGTAAGTTTCTCAAAGCTGGTTGTTCTATCAGAGTTAACTGAATTAAAAATGGATGTTGACAATTCATCTTGATAAGGCAAATAAACATCAAAATGTCCATGAGACAGGTCTTGCATAGAACTAAAACGCAGTCGCTTCACAAAGTTTCATTCTACACCAAATTTCTCATACAGCTCACCATTGTAGAAAACTTCGAAAGTTAACAGAAATATTTGTCCCGCTGCTACTAACTCGCATAAACCTCCATAAGTATGAAATCGCGACATATCGTCGAAGTATTCGACAGAACTGCTATAATTATTTCCATCACTATTATGTGACATTATCGAAAAATCATCCCAGTGACTCATCGCGTAACCCACTATTTCTGCACGTACTGTACACTCTTTTATCATTTGTGTGTGTTTTTACATTGGCAGCTAGCGGCTAGCTATTTTAAGTCAGTGCAATGCTCGCAGGAACGCGATCGCTTGCTATGATACTGTGATGGGTAGTATGTGATCCACACGTATGTGAATTGAACCTGTTATATTGGAATAAACTATTTCGCACATCAAACAACTCAATTAATTTCCTTCTACATCAGTGTAGATCTGTAACAGTCATACAAAATTAGCTGTATCTTCATTAAAATTCCATTCAACGTTTTGTGACTTTTAACTATTGACTTGCAGCGTAGGTTTGAAGTGTCTACAATAGCAAAATATACAACAGAGGAAAAATATTGTGATGCACAAAAACAAAATGGAATGAAAAATATCAAGTTTCATATACACAATCATAAGAAACTATGATAAAAGCGATCTCATTTTTACAACTCTGAATATGAAAAACAAGGCTAATTAATACCAACAATATAATTTATGATGCTAGAAAATGAAATAATCTAATAATCTTAATCTTTGCTCTTATTTTTTGCCCGGGTAACGATGGGTGTAACGAGCTTTTTATATTATAAATCTCAATTTAGAGCTTTATCAAATTTAGTGTTTTTTGCTTTTAAAACAAGAAAAGAACCTTTTCTTTGCACTCGTTCTGATTTCGCTAATCCACAATAGTAACAACCGAAAAAAACGAAATAAAACTTATTTTCGATTTATAGCACATAATATTTGCTTTCAATTCCCAGAGTGTGGGTTGTAGATTTAAGCACCCTGAAAATCGATCCTCTTAATACTGACTTAATATCGATCTTATCACCGTAAAAACTAGAAATCTTACAAATCTATGCTAAAATACTTTACTGCCGTTCTGCAAGATAAAGATGGAAAATGATATATTACGACCCGGTTGGCAGATATTTATGCTTAATTTCACGATTTACATATAAACTTTCAATTTAAAAAGAATTGTAAGCGAAATAACTCCATATTTAACAATAATATTTCAAAAGATTACAACCCGAAACACAAAGTGAGTAGCACAGATGACTAACAGTTTGCAAAAAGCTATAACCATTGTCTACATACCACAAATTACAAACATATAACATGTATCACTGAAATTAAATAATATTTTTGATTTCAAGTGTTCTAACCTTTTATCAATATTGGACGTCGCTTCGTCCATGACGACAATTTTATTCCGGAGAAGAATGGTTCTGGCCAGACAAATTAACTGTCTTTCTCCCACACTGAAATTTCGTCCTCCTTCCGTTAAATGCGTATCCAATCCTCCAGGTAATTTATTAATAACATCTTTTAACTGTACCTTTAATTGAGATGTTTTTGAAAGTAAATACAAGTTAATTAAGTTTAATAGTTAAAAAAATTAGAATGAAAATCAAGGAGCAAATTGAAATATTTATTTAATTCTAACCTCTTCTAAGACTTTCCACAGAGTTTCATCCGAATATTCATTAAAGGGATCGATGTTCCTTCGAAGGGGACCGGTAAACAACATCGGATCCTAAAAAATATGCCACGATAATCGATTTTTTACCATTATTTTTAAAAAACGTTAATTTCATATAAGAAAAAAAAACAACTTTATCGTAAATAAATATAAAAATAATTAACTAATAATTATTCTGATTGAATTAGTTCTTACTTACTTGAGGAATGATGGATATTTTACTACGAAGATCCCGAAGACCGATATCCTTAGTATCGACTCCATCGATGGTGATTGTTCCTATTGGCTCTGTCATGCGAAATATCGAAGCAATTATAGAACTCTTACCTGCTCCTGTTCTCCCAACAATTCCTATCTGCAATTAGTAAATATAGATTATATATTAATAAAAAAAGAAATCATTTTACACAGTAATTATTAGCAATAGTTCTCTGATTTTCAGACGTTTTACCTTTTCTCCAGAGTGAATACGAAATGTTAAATTTTTTAAAACGATATTTTTATCCTCGGAGTATTGTAAAGAAACATTATCAAAATGAATTTCTCCTCTTTGGGGCCATTCTGAGGGTGGTCGATTTTCGGGCGAACTTTCGTACGATGCTTCCGATTTCAATTTGCTGTATTTCAAAATGCGCTTTACCGAGTTCATCTGGAAAATTGATTTTTTATGAAATAATATAAATTATGAAACTAGTTGACGTAACAAGATACTGTAAGGTCTCTTTTTATGCGGATTATGTTTATGCGATTTTGAAGTTGGGCGGTTTGTATTTCATCCAAAAATTTCTTGGACAAAGATACATATAGGCTTGTTTAGGTAACCCGCGTATAGACAGTCTCCAATGATCGTGGAACTCTCAAAGCTCACTCCATTTGTTCCACTGACATATAGGGGAGACCGGGGCAAGATCGGCATGTTAAGCTTTACTTAAATTTTTATGAAATAAATACTGCTGTAAACTGAAAAAAAAGCTTTGCATATTGTCTATTGGAATGTTACCTTACTATAGAACTGGTTAAAATCAGTTTGGAAATAAAAATAATTAAAATAATTACAACTTTACAAGAAGAGGGAAATTGACGAAGTTGCCCCGGGTATAGGGGCAAGATCGGCAACTTCTCTCTTTTTGTAAAGTTGTAATTATTTTAATTATTTTTATTAAAGTTGCCCCTGGTATAGGGGCAACAGTAATGGG